AGGGTCCTCTGCTCCTTGGGATGCAGGATTCTCTGCTCCTTGGGATGTTCTACTCCCCAGGATGCAGGATTCTCCTCAGCTCTCACAACACCCACTCTGTTCACACAGAGCCAGGGCAGCAGAGCCTTTCCACTGCAAATCCCCCTGTCTGTGTGTCCCAATGCTGGGACAATCCAGCAGATTCCCAACCCCACACAGTTCAAATGTAGGTACCACAGGTGTGCCTGTTCCGCACAACTCCTCTGAGCACCTGAGGCAGCAGAACCACTGAAGGAACTCTGAAAAGGTGACAGACACCCCAGTGATCCTGGTAATGTTCCATATCCAGTGATAGGAGGGATGTTCAGGAGGTGAATCATGGACAGAGCTGCTATCCTAAAACCAGGAAAAGGACCAAACACAGGCATTAACTCTGCACTGAACCTGCCACTGCATCTCCCACCAACAGTGATTCACTGAGCACATTAAAACACAATCACCTGTTATGGAGCACTTCACAAACACACACATCAGGAGATGGGAAATCCATGGGATGGAGCAGCAGATTTATCTGCCCAAAGCATCCTGACACCACAGCACAATTCCACACCAGGTGTCTGGAGACATCACTGGGAGCAGATCAACAATCCCCATGTCCTGTGTGAACAAAGCACTGCTGGGATTGTCCCATCCGGGGTCACTGGAGTGTCTGAGTGTCCGTGGTCACCCCCAGCCTGCCCTCACACACTCCTGTCCCTGGGCTCATCCCAGGAAGGATTATTTCCTTCACACACTCCTTTTTCTCCCCTCAGTGCTTTGCTTTTCCTACAGTGAGCTGGTGGCACTACCACAGGCATCATCTTGGAGCAAGGGAAGAGCTGGAACCACCCCCACAGCACAGAAAGTGTCACATCCCAATATTCCAAGGCCGTGCTGGCAAATGGAACAAAACACAGGCTGTAAAGAAGGTGGGGGGAGAAAACATGGCATTTACCTGACAGCAGATCTGCACCAGGTAGACCAGTTCCTTGGAGTCACAGCCATTCCTGGTCACTTCGTTCTGTTCCTCCGGGAGCGAGAGCTGTGCCAGGGAGAGAGGGAGAGGAGCAGGTCAGTGAGCAGGGCCAGGCCAGGCTTGGGATAACACAGCAGCCACAGCAACTCGCCCCACGACATGCTGAGCAGCAGGGAATCAGGGAATCAGGGAATCAGGGAAGGGCTGCAGTTCCAGAGGGGAAACTCTGAGCATTCCCAGCTCACACAGACCCTCCAATGCCATTGGGTTGTGGCACCTCACCTGACAGGTTAAAAATAAAAATATGGTTCAAAAATAAAACAATTAGAGGGAGGCAAACTGCTCGAGCCAGGGATTAAAGCTCCAGCTTAAGAGTCTGCAAAATTAATTGTTCACTGAAAATACCTCTATAAATATTCATGTATCAGATAAAAGTGCTTCCCCTTCCCCCCATTTTATTCATTTTTTATTTTATACGTTCAGGCAGACATTAGATAATAAAACATATCTCCTAATTTCAGTGTTGTCAAGCAATTCACCCAAACAGAGAATTTTATAGCCCCATTCATCACAGACAGAGTCGTTAACTGCAACATCAGGATGTGCCTGTTTGGGAGCAGTGAGAGGATATTTAACTGTCTCATTCCTGCACATCTACTGAGCCTTGAGCACCCTGGTCCTGTTACTCCCACTAGTCTTGATATCCCACACTGAAAATGGCTCATGGTTAATGATCTTCTCTGAAAATAGAAATTACAGACGATCGTAAGCAAATTAAGATTGTTTGCAAAGCAAATAAAGGAAATGTTTGCAAAGCAAATAAATAAAGGAAATGTGTACATAAAACTTAAAGTCTGTAAAAAAATCCTAATTAGCTGAGAGCAAAAAAAAAATCACTCTGAAACAAACGAAAGCAGAAATGAAAAAAAGACTGAGGAGAATCCCAAGTTGCCATATTTAATGAATGTAAGCAAGGGAAAAGGAGAAATGGGTGATGAGAGGCACGAACCTCCTGAAAGGGACACAGGAGGCAAAGTTCTCTCCCATATAAACAACCACAACACCCTGAATGAACTCACTTTTCATCCTGCCAGTCCCTTCCTGCTCTCTGGGAGGAGTTCCCAGAGCACACCCATTCAGCCTCTTCCTTCACCAGCCCAACTCCCTGAATACTAATCTTCTGATGGCCATACACAGATAATTACACAGATTTCTGGGACAAATAAAGCTTTTAGATTTGTGCAATTTATTATATTTTTACACCACTAAATATATTTAGAAATATGTGTGCAAATGCTGACCACTCCCTCGTGCTGGTGGTGCAAGTAAAACTTGGTGTGGCACTGCTTTTTGGGAAGCAAACGCAAGTTTTCCATCAAATAATTTATATCCTAAATCAAGTGTGCCCGTTCCCTCTGCAGCCCAGCAGTGCAGAGCAGCTGAAGCAATGGCACCTCTGGGGACACCCCAGAGCCTTGGGCTGGGGCTGCCAAGGCAGGGAAGGACACGGGAAGTGTCAAAGCTCTGGGGAAGCTCTGGCAGATGAAACCACTCAGTGTCACCTCCATCGGGGTCTATCTTTACTCCCTCAGAAATCCTGCCCCCAGAATCCCCAGCCACTGTTTCCTCAGCCACTGCTGCAGCTCCTCCTGGGCCTCTTTTCCCTCCACACTCATTTTTTCGTCTCCCAGTCAGTCCCTCCTTCCACCCATCCCCTCTCCCTCCTGCAAAGCTTCCAGCAAGAGCTTGAATGATTTCCACGCTCCCTCCCCCTCCCAGGCTGGTGTGAAACACAGTCCCAGAGATAAATCTCTCCAAGTGCTGCAGAGCATCTTAATTCCACTTAAAAACTGCATTCCAGGAAGAGGCAATGGGAAAGATCTGTAAGAGTGACTTTCCTCTGTGTGTAAGAGGGTGGAGATTCCTGCCATTAATGTGATTAAACACAACCATTAGTTCTGTATTGCACCTTCCACCCAACTTTACCATCATTCTTTGCTGTCAAATGTCACATTTGAAGTGCTACTGAGTCTTGAAACTACAGTCAAATTAAAAATAACAAAGCAGCCAGGAAAGGAAAGCTAATCCATTCTGGGGGGATTTTCCATGCTTGCCAGGTAGCACAGAGCTCTGCTTTAATTAGGGCCACAAAGGTGATCAGAGGGCTGGAGCACCTCTCCTATGAGGAAAGGGTTAGGGTTAGGGTTAGAGAGTTGGGATTGTTCAGCCTTCAGGAGAGGAGGCTCCAGGGAGACCTGAGAGCCCCTTCCAGGGCCTAAAGGGGCTCCAGGAGAGCTGGAGAGGGACTGGGGAAAAGGGATGGAGGGCCAGGACAAGGGGGAATGGCTTCCCACTGCCAGAGGGCAGGGATAGATGGGATATTGGGAAGGAATTGTTCCCTGTGAGGGTGGGGAGGCCCTGGCACAGGTTGCCCAGAGAAGCTGTGGCTGCCCCATCCCTGGAAGTGTCCAAGGCCAGGTTGGACGGGGCTTGGAGCAACCTGGGCTAGGGGAAGGTGTCCCTGCCCATGGCAGGGGGTGGGACTGGGTGGGCTTTAAGGTCCCTTCCAGCCCAAACCATTCTGGGATTCAATGAATTAAATGTGGGTTTCCTACCCAGGGAGAAAACTTTCCCTCCTTGACTCTCCCCTGTGCTTACTGAGGGTACAAACACCTCCTCCACCAACCCTCAAGGGAATTCCAGGCCTTGCCTCCACTGGGTGTATCAGTGCTTACACACATCCCCACAGGCTCTGCTGTGCTTTGACAGGCTCCATTCACCCCAAAAACCAGCAGCCAGGTGGCAAAACCACCAATGTGCAAATGCAGCAGCTCCCTGAAGACATTCAAGGCCTGGTTCTGTACAACAGGGCAGAGAAAGGCACAGGGCAAGTGAAGACACAGGTTGAGTTGCATCACCTCCCTCTACACAGGCTGATTTACACGAGGCTGGACCTGAGTCAAGCCAAGCCTGTGCACAAACTCTCCCGAAATAGCAGGTGAATCATCAGTGAGGTCCCTGTGTGTGGGAGTGACAGCAGCTCCATTTAAAGCACACACCTGCCTGAGCACGACCTGCGGGGGCACAGCCACTGATTTCACACCCACACAGTCTGTCCCCGCTGCAGTGCTCCCATGGCCCTGCTCAGACAAGCTCCCTGTGCTGAGAAGTGACATTTAAACCCCCTGTACCACTTGCAACTGCTTTGTTTCAGAGTGAAGCTGTAAAAGCCAATGAACACAGTTCCCCTCCCACAGCAGCCTTGTGCTGACTGAGAGACAGACAGAGCTGCTTACAAGGAAAACCCCCTGGGTTTATCCTGTAACACAACTGTCCTCGCAGCAAAATGCCCCCAAAGATGAATATTCACTCCTGTTCCCTGTTCCCCATGTGGTTTAGTTTGTGTTTTGCTCTGTCAGTGGACACACATGAATGCTCTCTCCAAAATCATGGATGCCCTGATGCTGAAAAGCCTTTCCCGCTACTGCATGCCTTGTAAACAGAACATCCTGGAAAGCACAGCTGCCCCCAGGCTGGATTTGAAACCCAAGCACAAAGCACAGGCCTCTCCTGACCTCAGTGGACTCCAAACATGACTCACAGGCAGAATGTGCTTGGCTCCAAAGTGGGACATGGATTTTGTGTTCTTAAAGGATGGGGCAGAGAGCAGGTCTCGAGGATACCCCTGTACCCATCCCAGTGGGAATCACTGAGACAGCTGGAATAATGTGTAACCAGCATTTATGGTCCCTGATCAGAGCATCAGACATGACACTTTATGATAGATCATCTGAAATGTTCCTTTTTCACACTGAAAATGTTGTCAAACCTCCTGAACCTGACATACAGTTATGATGCATTAGATTCCACTAATTTCATTTATTATGGAATATCTGTGCTTTGCCAGCACCAAGGGATTGTGACTGATTTTAGCAGTGAGGTTTAGGGTTTCCTAAACTTTTCAGTGTCACTTATGACACACAAAGAAAGCCTTAAAGATGGTCCTATGGACACCCCACACTTCACCAGGTGGATGGATAATGCAGAGTGCTGTAAACGTTATAGAATCATGGAATCCCAGGATGGTTTGGGTTGGAAGGGACATTAAAGCTCATCCAGTCCCACCCTCTGCCATGGGCAGGGACACCTTCCACTAGCCCAGGTTGCTCCAAGTCCCATCCAACCTGGCCTTGGACACTTCCAGGGCTGGGGCAGCCACAGCTTCTCTGGGCAACAATGTCAAGGTATTGTTCAAATTTGTCTTTTCACAGCTACAGACAAGTTTGGGAGTCTCCACTGTGCCTCTGTGCACACACCCACCAAGAGCTGAGCATGAATTCAACACAGGCAGGTTTTTCTCCACCACCAAACTCATCCCACGTTGCTTGTGCAGGTGACAAATAAGAGCTGTGGCTCCTCAGACAAAGATCTACCAAATGATGAGAAACTCTAACAGACACAATAGCAAAGACTTCCAAGAGCAGGAGGCTGGGCTGAAGGAGCATGAAGGATCTCACAGTACCAAGTTTCCCCTTGGCATTGTGAAAGTCCAATCCCTTGTTCAAATACAATTTTACCCAGAAGAGCTGTGCTTGCTGGCCAAGACCTTACTGATCCTACAAGGAGGACAAGCTTAAAAATGCCTCTAGTTCATGTCTGAGACAAAGAGGCTCAGCTCTGGTAAGCTGGGAGATAAGGGGAGTGATTACAGGAGTCTCCTGCAGAGGGTAATTTATTGGTTATTCCTCCTGCAGAGCAGAACAGCCACAAAGCAGAGGGTGAGTTGTGACGTGGCACATTCAGAGTCTCACTCAAAGCTCAGTGGTTTTCCAGGGCACAAGTGTGAGGGAGCATTTCTCCTCCAGATCCAAACCAAGGCTCTCATCTCTGCTCTCCACAGTGGCTTTGGAAGCTCCTTCTCCCCCTCCAAGAATAATCCTCACATCCAGCCTGGAGCAGAGCAGCAGGACTTTGAGAGGTTCATTTGTCTGTCTGGAGCTCCAGGATTTCAGCCTGACTGCGAACCTGCCTGGGAGGCACCAGGACCTGCCACGTTCCCTCCCACA